CCCTGATTTATTCGGAGAAGGTCCTGGAATGGAGGGGTCTGGATGAGTGGCATTTTAATGTGCTTTTGAGATGTTTGGTCACAAGCGTTATTGATCACGCTGCTGCTGCTGCTGCTGCAGCCCCTCCCTCACTGTCCCACAGACTCTCACACTGCCCCCAGGGAGAGGGCTGACTGTCAGGCAGGGAATGAGTTTCTACGCCGCCTCAGATTAATGAAATCAGGCCCTGGTTCCAGGTCAGACCATTAAGGAATCCCTGGACCGGAGGGAGGGGGGAGGAGAGAGGAGAGGAAGCAGAGACAGGGCCCTAAGACTGCAGTCCTTCATTAACACCTAACCGCCGTAAGTAGGTGTTTTTACTGAGGATGTCCGATAATATCGGCCGACCGTTAATATCGGGCTGATATTAGCATAATTATGTAATTTCTGCAAGATGCGTTATCGGCTTTTCCTCCGATAATGAAAACCTGATCACGCCACGCCTGGGTTTGGCCAAATGATGTGTGCCCTAAAAATAGTTCTGGGGAAAATCGGCTGTGTGTGAAAGGGAAAGCCACTAGATGGCAGCGTTGCAGCTCATTTTAATAATCGATCTTAATGATCAGAGGATCGTTGCTGAACGGTTTGTACCGATAAATAAATAAAAATGGTACCAGGCCTACGTCGGTGTCGGTATCAGAATGGGAAATTAAGTGTTTGGACGACATCGGCATCTTCCTATTGGCTGTACAGCACACACACACACACACATTGATTTTTGTTCCTCTGGAGTTTTTTTCACACCCAAACTGGAAGAATATTACATTATCACATTAGTATCACAGTAGTACAGACAAGTACTACTGTAGTACATGTGTATATCACATGGTGGTCATACCACTCTCGGACAGCAGGGGTTACATTTATTTGTCCAGTTATTGCTGAATAAACAGCCAATCAGAATGCGTCCGTTGTTTTTATTAATATCAGTAAAAGTATTTCCACCCTCCGTGCAGTAGTTTTTGGCTTAGCGATGCTAACCAGCTAAGAGCTAACAGCTGACTGGTGCTCTGTCTGTGTTGTAGTGTGTATGGATGCCCTTTGGCCAAGAGGAGAACGAGTCTAGACAGACAGAGCCTGGAACCGTCGCCCAAAAGGAGCACCTACCTCGATGACATGGACAACTCCACGATGGAGGAGTGCTACGACACTGACGGAACTGAGGAGATGGATGACCGAGAGGAAGAGGAGGAAGATGCTGTAGCCGAGGAGGAGGACGGAGAGGTGGAGGAGGACGAAGAGGAGGTGGAGGGCTATATGGACTACAACGTGGAGCAGATGGAGAACGAAGATGGGGAGGAGGAGAGAGGTGACGGGGAGGTAGATGAGGACGAGGAGGAGGAGGAGGAGGAAGAAGTAGAGGTGGAGCAGGAAGAGGAGGAGGAGGAGGGCGATGTTGAGAGGGTGGATGGGGCGGCGGAAGAGGAGGAAGAGGAGGAGGAGGAGGAGGCCGTAGAGGACGTGGACTATGAAGAAGGAGAAGACGAGGATGGAGATCAGAGTCAAGAACCAGGTGAGTGTTAAAGCTCA